CTAGACTTGTAACCAGAAGGTGCTGGGTTCGAACCCTGGTGGTATGTGCGTACTGATGAAGAGTCCCAAACTAGGTTGACGAAACAGCTGTCCAGTACTCCCTGGTTGTGGTTTTCCAATGGTTCTCTAACTGATGTCAGCTCATGATGAAATCCTCCAACCAATTCCCGTATTATTAGAAAGACGGTTACAGCGAAGAAAATTTTCTTTTCGACGAAGTCATCAACTACACAGTTGTACGTTCGTGTATTTATAGTAAGTGTATGAGAAAGTTCCAGAATTATTTTCGGCAAAAGGTTATTTTTTATTATTATTCCTTTACGTTCTCAGCGGAACATAGGGCTCCAAGCTAGGGATTTGAAGTTTCGGTAGCAGTAGTGTTTATTTTTACAGGATGGGGTTGCTAGCCAGCCTCATGCCCAACCTTCCCTCTTTACCAGTCTTATTACTGGTCTAGCGAGGTAAAGGAGTGCGTCTGTGGTCGGAGATCAAACCCCGAACCAACTGTGTGGTTGGTGAGCATTCGACCGCTGTGCCACCGACGCACTCGGCCAAAGGTTAAATTAATAAAATTACAAAGTGTAATAAAGACATAATAAAATCATAATTACTGAACAACTTGACTGTTGTTACAAATTATGGATTAAGGACGTGGTAATAACAAATTAGGTAGGAAGTGCTAACATATATAAAACAGCAATCAGATCTAGTAATGCAGACTGGAATTAAAAACGTAAAAATAAGAGAAATAAACAGGAAGGTTGGATAAGAAAGATAATGGGGTAATCATTATTCGTGGGACTGGTTTCTCATAATGGCCACGGTAGGGACAGTGGTTGGATGTATTTCTTTTCAACACAACGTAGGCCTGAGTTTTTGAATCTCCAGTGCCTCAGCTATTTCTAGACGCCTTGATTTCACTCCCTTTGAGAGAGAGGTATGATCGGATCTTGTATATGACTTTGAAGGGCTTATCAAATGGAGCTGAATGTCCTGAATTCATCAAATGTTCTATTATCGAACTGTATACACAGTTGTGTTCTCCCTTTGCTAACCATGCTGGATTGTGTTCCCGAGCGCGTTTTACCAGCGGACGCATGGTACGGCCAATGTACTCGGCTCCACATGAGCAAATGAACTGGTATATGCATGTTGAAGTGGTGGCCCAATGCGACAGCTTGTCTTTCACGTGCTGGTCGAATAGTTTCTTGCAGGAAAATGTTATTCATAGACTGGCAGTGAAGTATGTTTTACTGAGAGATTTCGGAAGCCGTCTACGGAGAAATCCTGCTTCGGTATCACTTATAAGTATCATCATCTTTTTGGTGGCAACCCGAACCTTTTCAGGCGTTTTCTTTGATTTCAGGTTCTTGTCTTTGAATTTGGGTGAAGGGAAACCATTTTCTATCAAGGTCCCATGGAGATTTCTTAGTTCTTTGTCAATTGACTCCTCAGTGCAAATTTTCCGTAAATTGGTTTGCCAATTTCCAATCTAGACATTCTGAGTGGTGAAATTTCAACGTAGTTTCCTTCGGAAACCAAGTTATGTGTGATTGACTTGATACCATAAATGGTAACCAAGAAAGCAAAAATATTTGCATAAACGTATATACTACTGATTAACCGAGATAAGTAGTTGCATACTACTAATTTCAACCAGTAGTGCTGGCTTGCTAGTCAAACTGAGACGATCTAACCACCGGACTGCCATTTTCCCTCCAAATACAGAAGTGATCAAAGATGTATCCTGTTTAACTTAACTCAGAGGGATAACCGGTTTGGGTAGTATTCAGCTACTAATTATAATCAATCAGTAGTATATAATTTTATGCCCAAACAAATCACACCGTGTAGTAGAATTCGTTAATAAAGTTAAGTACTTCTTCATATTCAAGGCTTAACCTATCCTCAGATCAGATCACATAGTGAAGTTGTTCAGACTTCCGAATTCGAAAGATAATGTCAGAAAGTTGTCTAAAGTAATTTAAGGTGTCAAAGAAATTAGGGTAGTAACAAAGGTGATGAGTTGTCACAAACAGTTGTTAAAACAAAAAGTTATGTAATAGTATGAATAGTTTAATGATTGAGTTTTACTCAGGATACTCATAGGAACAAGGTGGAGAATACGAAATTACGTAAGAGTTCTAAGTGAATACAAGAATTATAAGCAATTAAAGAAACAGGCTGCGTCGGTGGTATAGCGGTTAGGACGCTCGCCGACCATGCACATGGTCCGGGGTTCGAATCCCGGCCGACGCACTCCTTTACCTCGCTGAGCCAGAAATAATGCTGGTAAAGAGGAAAGGTTGGGCATGAGGCTAGCAACCCCATCCTGTAAAATAAACACTGCTACAGAAACTTCAAGCCACTAGCTTGGAGCCCTATGTTCCACTGGGGAACGTGAAGGAAATAAAAAAAAAAGAAACAGGCTGAAGCTCTAGCCATTCACATAGAAAAACCGGAGCTGTGCATACAAAAGAGAATTACTCAACCACTTCTACTGTCATGGTAACAACCTTGTTGATTTTTTAAAACTTAATTTTGTTTGTTTGCCTGTTTCTTTAATTGCTTATAATTCTTGTATTCATTTAGAACTCTTACGTAATTTCGTATTCTCCACTTTGTGACTATGTGAATCTTGAGTAAAACTCAATCATCAAACTATTCATTTTATTACGTAACACCTTTTTAACAGCTCTTTTTGACAACTCATCACCTTTGTTACCACCCAAATTCCATTAACACCTAATTTTCTTGACTGATTTTGTATTTTTTTTTCCTTCACGTTCCCAGTGGAACATAGGGCTTCAAGCTAGTGGCCTGAAGTTTCCGTAGCAGTGCTTATTTTACAGGATGGGATTGCTAGCCTCATGCCCAACCTTTCCTCTTCACCAGCATTATTTCTGGCTTAGTGAGGTAAAGGAGTGCGTCGGCCGGTCATTAATGCTATGCAGTTCCAAACACATAGGCCTACATGACCTTCATTCGAAAAGCCAAAGCAGATAGGAACCAACACAGTTCAGAGCTCGAAAGTGAGCGTGATGTGGGAGGGGGGGGGTGAATGCAACCATTACTGCACTGTAAAACTAAATGCCCAATATTGAAAAATTAGGTGTACATAACCGCTGTCGTGGCTTGGCATCGGCATAATGTCACTACAGATTGACTTCAGGGCTTTAAGATTACTGGATGAGCCACCAGGATGGAGTTCAGTGATAAAGGAATTCTAATTTCCAACCGTTCATAATGTTTCAGTCATTTGTAATTGATTTATTGTTGGAGAGCTGACAAGGCTAACACATCATGGCCTGGAATTCAATTTCTCCGTGCGTTGGTTGAAAGATGGCTAGGTCACGAGCTGCGCATGCCTAACCATCGCCTCCCCCGACGGACGGGCATTACTAGGTGATATAGGTGCAGGTTGGAAAAGAGTAAGTGGTGGCCAAACAAAAACATGGCCTCATCAATCCATGAAATCCCTGACAGTTAAACTGAGTCAGATAGGGAGGGAGATGCAGACTTCCGTGTTGGGGCCCGCCCTCGGGACTCTAAGAATCAGTGGCTGGAGGCAGCAGGTGACATGGCTCAAAATCGTTGTCAATGGCTTACGCAGATGTATTCAGTCTCTGTAATCTTTCATATTCCTTTCTACCATTACTCACTCTGTTTCACTCTTATACTTGTTAAAACTCTATTGATTCTCTTCACTCATTTTCCTGTCTACCTTTGTGTGCTATTTGGAACGTGGCAACTCGAGTTGCTGCACTTCGGTGCCAAGTTCTATGTTGAATCCAGACAGACAACCAGGTTGAAAGGTCATTTCCACAGTGATATTTCACATGTTAGCACAGCACAAAGTAACTGTCACAAGCTAAGATACATGCAGTGTGTACCGATACTCCGTGTACAGTCTAATCAATAAGCTAAATACAAAACTGACATCGATTGTGTTTGTTTTTTTCCAGCTAAACGGTAATCCTTTTTAACTTTAAAATAAAGGTTCATTCTTTGAGTCTCGAGTGGAACATAAAGTTTGAAACTTCAGTCCTGGAGTTTCACAAGCAACGGTGTGTATTTTATCGGATGCGGTTGACAGCTTCATACGTAGAGTCCCTCCCTCACTGCGTTTACTACCGGTTAAGGAATTTGTCTGCCTAGAATCGAATCCTGAGTCTGGTCGAATTTCTGTAGAACCTGTTGGTATTTGTTTGTACCAACAATTGTCTTATCTATTTGCTCTTTCAAGCTGTCCCCAATGGTTGATAGTGTTCCCAGTGAGACTCGAACTCAACACTTACAATTTCAAACACCAGAATATCTTTCCTCATCGGGAACACCATCACTTATTGGAGGTTGCAGGAACCTGCAACTGACAGGTTCCAGGCAGGACGAAACAACCTTTGTGATTGCTTTGCAAGTCGCTATCAATCAGATAACTTCGCGTTTACAACCGGACATGCTGGAAGCATCCGTATTAGGAGCAGGTATGCCATAACAGCATAACAGTTCGGCTTCCTGTTGATTGCCTCCAACCATCTAATATCATCAAATCAATGTGCAACTTGATGAAGAGAGCTACCTAGAATGGTGGCCACATTACAAGCCTGAGTGATAGAATTTAGTCTGCACCAAAGATAGGACTAGACACATCACACTAGTTACTGACTAGTGTCCAATCAAAATAACCACTACAGTCCTACAGCAGGTCAATCACCAGTCAGCCCGAATAGCTCAGTGGTAACGTCTCTGACAGCAGCTCTCACTGGGTGACGCCAGTTCAAGTTCAGAAGGGACATGAGTTCCTTCAAGATTGCAGATACGTTGCTGATATGAGTGCATACCCAACCTAGATCCCAGTGGGGCTTCCTGTGGCCGATTGCCTCCAACCATCTAATATCAACATAAATCAGTCAACCAGAATCATAGAATAAAATCAATAAATACAATCAATAAACGTATTACTATTAATAACCTACTTTCATTCTTTTTTTACTTTGCAGTTTAATCCAACAGTCAAAGATGCACCCAACTTTGATGCTGAAGCAGACTGTGAACGTTTAAGAAAAGCAATGGCAGGATTAGGAACAAATGAAAAAGAATTAATTGATGTTATGGCACATAGAAGTCCTGCTCAACGTGTAGCAATCACAAAGAAATATAAGGCATTATTTGGAAAAGATTTAACATCTAAATTTCGGTCTGAATTAAGTGGACACTTTTTAGATTGTATGATAGCCTTGTGTTTATCACCAGCTGAATTCGATGCTTCTGAGTTGTATAAAGCAATGAAAGGTCTTGGTACAGATGAAGATGTTCTTATTGAAATATTATGCTCTAGAACAAATGAACAAATCAGGGAGATCAAAGAAGCCTATTCAAAAAGTAAGTGAATAGTGAATTTCTTTACATCTATGCCTCTTAAATTGGAGAATACTGATTTGTATGAGGTCATGAATAAGGATTTTCCTTTAGATCCATTTAACACTCACACACTCATGGAATGTTTCTTCATGAATCATAGAGTCTGAAGTTACTTGTTTAATGGTGACTGACAATAGATTTCGAGACGAGCATTTCGTCCTCTTGGGTTCCTAGTGGAACATAGGGCTTCAACTGCACACCTCCACTTGCTTCTGTCTTCTGCTGTACTTTTCACTTGCGTCCATGTTAATCCATACTGTTTCAGCTCCTCTTCACACGATCTCCTCCATGTCACCCTTGCACTGACGAACCACTCGCCGCTTCCATTTCGGGTTCCACTCGAGCGTTGGCCTGACGCGCGATGTCACCCAGCGGCCTCCTCAGCGAGTGTCCAATCCATCTCCACTTTCTCCTGCATATTTGTTGAGCGATTGGTTCTTGTTTTGTTTGTTCCCATAGTTTCTTGTTGGTGATTCTTTCTGGCGGCCATCTGATCTTCAGTATAGAACGAAGACAGTTGTTGATAAAGGTCTGCAACAGGCTGTTGGAAATATTCTTTGTGACCCGCCGCCAAGTTTCTGATCCGTATAGAAGAACTGACTGACTTGACGTTTGTATTGAAAATCCGAATTTTGTTGTTGATGCTGAGTGACGAAGATTTCCAGATTGGTTTCAGGTTGATGAATGTGTTTCTCGCCTTTCCGATTCTCGATTTGACATCCTCGTCCGTTCCTCCTGTAGTTGAGACAATGCTCCCTAGATAAGTGAATGAAGTAACCTCTTTCAAATCCCTCCCGTTGATGGTGATTGGCGCTGGATGTTGCTGTTGTTGTTGGTTGGTTGGTTATTTTCATAACCTCCGTCTTGTCTATGTTCATCTGGAGTCCTGTCTTTGCTGCTTCTTCGACCAACCAGTTTGTCGGTTTTCGCTTGTAAGTCTTCAATTTTGTGTGACATCAAACATAAATCATCCACAGGTGAAATCCAGGTCTTCTAGGTTCTTCACATCGGTCCAGGATATCCCTGTCTTCTCGTTTCCCACTGTCTGACGCATAATCCAGTCCACCACAATTAGGAATATCATTGGTGATAATAAGCACCATTGTCTGACTCCTGTGTTTACTCCAAACGCCTCGCTGAGTTTTCCGTTGTGGATCCCTTGGCATGTGTCGTTGTCGTACAGCTGTTGAATAAGGCTGATGAATATTTGGGGTACGCCATAGTACTCGAGTAGTTTCCAAATTACTTCGCGGTCAACGCTGTCGAAGGCCTTCTCAAAGTCTCTGTGAAATTACTTTGCTCCCTAGCGAGTGAAGGTGTCCCAAATGATTCTTCACAACACGGCGGTCATTGCCTGAATCACCAAAACGTTATCCACTAGACCAGTATGTCGTGACAGACACTTCTTGCACGGTGGATACGACTTTAAGTTATTTATTCCTTTTTAGAAGCTAATTTGTAGAGATTCGATATCTTTCAAGTTTACCCATGGATTGATGTCATTTCAAGAAAGGGTGATAAACCAAGGAGTAGTGGACAGTCGTTTCGTTCCAGTTTGTGATACATCAGCAGCATGTATCCATCGGGGACTGGATCCAGAAGCTTCCGGTTACAAGCCAACCATTCAACCACTGGGAGTCAGCCCAATAATCCATGAATTTCAAATTCCATGAAGTTTTGACCACCAGTCGACCTCGTCGACAACTATTTGTCATCATATCGGACCTGATAAACCCCAATGGTCATGACCTCTGACTAAAAATTCAGGCAATGTGGTCCTGAAACCAGTCAAAAGTGAAATGTCGTAACCAATGAGGTCCATCGGGTTGGGTGTGTGGAGAAATAGTCACCTAAGATATTGGCCAGTGGTCTACCTTAAATCACGAGCTGGTAGGAGCTGCAATTATTGGGCCATTGAGTTGGGTCCCAGTGGTTTAATAGTCTACAAACTAGTCATGTAACTCGAAGGTTCTGGGCTTGAATCCCAGTGAGTGAGTACTGTCGTAGATTACTGAACTAGGATGAAACAGTGTCCAGTATTCTCTCCAGTGGTTTTCAATTGTTCTCTAAATGATACCAATCCGTGGTCATTGATAGCCTTTAGCCTCTAAAATAAGTTATATATGTCCAAACCAAGTTCAGTCTTAATAGTTTGGGCATTGGGTATACGATATTCATTATAATAAAGGTGCATTGTATTTCCCAATGAATGTAAAACCAAACGATACTGTTGCTTTTACTGAGGTTTTCCTATTTAATGCTGCTAATAGCTTCATAAAAGTAGTATTATTAAACCAGAATTTACAAATCTCAGCTTATATATAACAACTTAACTATCGTTCCTCACCATGGGGTCATTTTTGCTTTGTCAACTTGGCCACCTGGTAAAGATAACAAAACCAGGTGTAGATTGTTGGATCTGATCAGTGTGTAGAATTTTAAAAGCAGCGTGTGTCTACATAATGATATTGCTTATCATATTCGTGTTGGCTTGATCATTTCATGGGGAGAACAGGGTGCTGTCCTTAGTCCATCATTTCTATTCAACAATTTAGATTCCACCTTCTGATGATATTAGACGTTCTTTGTGATTTCTGAAATTTTTCTGCATGAACTGAGTATTGTCAGAATCAGTTTTGGAGCCTGATTCCACAGCGTGTCCATCTATGGCTGATGATCTTCGAAGCTTTTATTGTTCAGTTGGATTTCTCAGTGGTTGAATTGACGCTCTACGGTGTTCAATATTTCTGATCACCTAGATTTCTCGTGATGTTTGTCGGATGTATATTGCATCACATTCCAAGCAGACATTTTACTTTATAGACACAATTAAATCGTGAATCCTTTGGACTAAATTATCATAAACCCACTTTTACATATGACAATATGTATCAATGACTTCGGCTTTCTTTGGCGTTTACTTTTGTGAAGGTTGACATCGAGGAATTTACAAACCTACTTTGGTAATATTTCGTTGAAGTACTATAATATTAAAACTTCATCATTAAATCAACTAAGCTGACTTATAATAATAATATCTTTATTCTGGACGGTATTTATAAAACGTACAGAATTTTGAGACGAGTTTATTGCATGATATTTCCTCTCTTCATACAATATCTTCAAGTAAAATATTAATTAATTGACAGTATATCCTTCCTGTGATACAAGGCTTTCTCCGAGCTGAAGCACAAACCATTCCATTCTGTGATATATATGCTTTGTCTCCTTCTTTCAAGAAATTCACGATATCTACCTGTGAAAGCCAACCTTGTAAGATGTTCAGAAGTACATTTTGAGACCAAACGACATGCATAACTGAAGAACAGTTATCTTATGTTGCATTTGAACACCCTGCCACCCAAAATCAGGTCTTTTCTGAAGTTCAGTAGGAACCTGGGAATCAGAAGCTTGTAAACATTTTAAATACACACAAGAGTAGATAGTACCATTAGAGGTGACATCTTAATCGGCTAAAATAAAGAAGACGAGAGAAAATATATGCAATAGAGAGAGAGAGTGAGTGATGGAATTTTTCGGTAGCGCAAGTTTTAAGCAGGCCGCCAGGTTGTAATTCATAAAAAATCATAAAATGTAACAAGATATTGATTGTATGAACTTTGATTAAAAAGTGGCATCAATACATATTACAAATATTTGGTATTGATTAAAAAATTCTCTAATATAATTATAGGAAGTTATGTTTGTATCAGATGGATACTTGGGCTTCATTTTTTACTGACTTTCTAATCAAAATGGAACAAATGTTGTAAGTTGTTCATTCATAGGAATCTCACTTCAGGTCACATGGATTTCTAAGTTAAATATCGTTAAAAAAGGTGAACATCAGTGGAAATTACACAGAGTTGGATAATTCCTTCTTCGTCTTCTAGGTGTTCACCATTACGTCGGTCCCTTTTACAGATTTCATGATTCGCTCACTAATTCACAAAAGAATCAACCATAAACTTGTACGATTTGTCTGAGAGTATTTCGGTTTAATAAAATGACTCAACAGGAGATTAAGTATAAATTAACGAAGTAACAATTGACACCCGTTGAACAGGAGGTTCTTCTTGTGGTCCAATAGCTTATTAGGAAACCGTTTGAAATTTGAAACGATAGATGCCCGATTCGATTTTCGGTCACAACCACACGCTTGAATGCCAGTACTGACGAGTCCCGAGTGGTACAGAAATCGCAGTATTGATTCCAGTAGTCGGTACTATCAACCGAACAGCATCTTAACCTCAAAGCATCACAGTGGCGTCCCCAAAAGGAGCCACCATATCAACAGAGACTTTCTGTTCCCATCTATTATGATCAACCAAAGGTTAATTCGAAATAATTTCAACAAATTCATATCATAGTTGAAAAATCATAAGCCAGTTAATTTTAACTCTGTGACTGAGTGATGATGCCCCGATATTTAACAGTCCTGGGATCCTCCCAACCCCAGTTATGGGCTAGAACTGTTAAGGAGTCCCTAGCTGAGATGGAACTAATTTCAATTACTTCATTGTTTTTAAGCATTTCTTGTGTGATATTGGTTGTAATAAAATTCAGCTTAAGAAACCCACCATTTTTTGAAAACTCCTTTCAATTAGACTTCTTACTTTACAATTCCTCTTGATTTGAATATCGTGGGATTAAATAAGCTTTATGTTTCAGTATATGACATAGTGCATTTCAATTTTTGAATGTCTGTTTGCAGCGATGTGATACAGTTCAGTTTAGATGGCTAACTGACATCAGTTGGGGAATCGCTTAAAACCAGGAAGTATTGCTTAGGATTCCTCACTACAACCTGTTGTGACTAGTGAGACACATCCAATCGGATGTGACGATATATTCTCACCGGGGACATTGTCCGGTACTCGCGCTACACACCTGTGCATTGCAGAAGGCTAAATTCCCTGGCCATCGGATCTTATCACATTGACTAAATGGTTACTGGGCTCCTCTAGTAACTTAAATGTCATGTTTGCGATCCCTGGTGGTGTTATGACCACAGAAACAAATGTCCGGTACATCTTGGTTTTCAGTTTTTCTCCAGTTGATATCAGTTCGTGATCCACCTTGAAAACAGGATATTTTAATTACTAACTTTCTTTTTATCTATTTGAATGACAGTGCATCGTGGACGTGATCTTGAAAAGGATATCAGAGACGACACGTCAGGATATTTTAAACGTGTTTGTGTAGCACTTGTACAAGGCGATAGAGATGAAAATCCACAAGTGGATGAAAGTCGTGCACGTCGAGATGCTGAAGAATTGTATAATGCAGGAGAGAGAAGACTTGGAACGGATGAATCAAAGTACGTTTCAATTTGTTTACAAAATTGTATTCTATTTATTTATTTATTTATTTATGTATATTAGACGTTGAATTGTGACTGGATAAACCTGAGACTGTCTTAACATTTATATTTGAGCATATTCCTACATTGATAAAGGGTATATATGCATACCGTATTAATGTAGGTGAATGTGTCTGAGTGTTTGTACCTGAATAATATTGCCTCTTAATTCACAGAAATTAGTAACAAACTGTCACAGTATGACTTAACAGTAGAAATACCAAAGACTGAATTCTATCAGTCAAGTTTGTAATATATCCACCATGTCACTAGGTGGCTCGCCATCAAGGTGCACTTTGAATTCTTGTTATTAGACGGTTCAAGGCAATACTCAGGGAACCTTGGACCTAGATTTCATGCTTCTTGACATTCACCAGTCAGTAAGGCGTATCTGCAATCTTCAGGGGATTCATGTCCCGCCTGAGATTCGAACCTGTGTCACCTAGTGCTGCAGTTAGACACGTTATCACTAAGATATTCAGGTTCATGACTGACCTCCTGTAGGACTGAAATAAATACTCTGATTGGACACTACTGTCATGAGTCTAGGCTTTTGTTTGGAGCAGAAAAGATATGAATTCCTTCAAGACTGAAGATTTACCTTGCTGGAGAGATTCGAAAAGCATAAAATAGAAGTCCATGGCTTTCTACTTTCTGACTGTTTCCAACCGTTGAATAACCTCAACATCTACATAAAAGTCAAACAGTGCTGGTCTGTCAACTGAATAATCCACAATATAAAACTCTTGCTCATTGTGAAAGTTAAAGTAAAATATTCCTGGATCATTCAAGAGTTTATCAGTTCTCATAAACAAGCCATTGTCATATCCCTAGTTAGCCTTCATTCCAGGGATTATTCAGTTTAGTATTAATGCAATTTTCATAGAATGGTCCGCTAACCTTCACTATGAAGAGTTTCACTGTGATTTCGACCAAAAACTAAGGCTTTTCAGTAACATTCAAAACCCTACTGAAAACCTTCAATAATCTCAAAACTGGTAAGACTCCTATTGGTCGGTTACTTGGTTCTAATCTAGTGTGCCCACTAAACTATGGAATTCGCTCAAGTCTGACGCCAGTAGCATTAAAAGTTCCCTCAAAATGGCTTAATTATGTGAGTCAGACTTCTTGAATCCCTCTGGTCATGTAGACATTGAAAATAAACCTATCTATTGATGTAGACGTAGAATTTAGAAATTCTGATTGAATCTATATTCTAGCATTAGCTTGTTATATATATTAAAAAGTCTATTTTTGATTAGACATTAGTTGGTGTAATATGTCCAGTCCTTTGTTTGGTGCAGATTGAATTCTATCAGCTAAGTTCGCAATGTGGCCACTATGCCACTAAGTGGCTCGCCATCACGATGCACTGCACTTTGAATTGTTGGTATTAAATGGCTTTAGGCAATCGGCCACAGAAAGCCTTGCATCAACGAGGTTTCGTGCTAGTTGGCCTTCATCAGTCAGCAAGGCGTACATGCAACCTCGAAGGAACTCATGTCCCTCCACACGGATATTCGAACCCACATCGGCTAGTGTTGCTGTAGTCTGTGACGTTACCTCTGAGCTATTCGGGTTGGCTTGCGAATGACCTCCTGTAGGAGTGTATTGGATATTCATATGAACTGTGATCAAGATTTGACCGAATAGTTCCAAAATATAATTGGGCGCCGAGTGGGAAGTAGACATTTGTAAAAATTATATTTGTGAAATCTCAGAGAAATTGAAATGATTAATTCCAACGTTTCCTGAGTTCGGTGATCTGGTCCAAATGTTTTACAACTGTTTACCCATGTACACATACACACATCACTGTATATATATTTTCATATTCAGTTATCTACGACCATGAACTTTTAGTCGAACGTAATCCGATGAAAAGTACTCTCGGTTTAAATTATTTAACAAAACGTAGACTAATTTTTGAAAGTCTGAGGTCAAATTTTGGTCACAGTTCATACAATTTTGTTTATTATACATGTTGATACTTGTTTCATGACTCATATAATTGGAGAAAGTTTTTAAAAACAAGAGATGTCCCCCTTTTCATATGTATATAAACCTCTGCCATGTCAATTTCGATTAATTTCCTTGAAGAAGTTCGAACCAGATTGCCGAACTCAGGAAACGTTGGAATTAATCATTTCAATTTTGCTGAGATTTTACAAATATAAGTTTTTACAAAGGTCCGCATTGGATACTTTTGACTGGACACTATTTGAAATCTAGTGTAACGGTTTTAGTCCTTTGTGGCCATATTCCAAACTTAACTAACAGAATTCAGTCAGCAGCAAACAAAGGACTAGAAACACTACACTAGTCACTGACTAGTGTCCAATCAAATTATCTAGTACAGTCCTACAGGAGGTCAATCGCGAGCCAACCCAAATAGCTTAGTACTGAGTGACAAGGGATCCAATCTCAGAAGGGACATCAGTTCCTTCAAGGTTAGCGATACACCCTGCTGACTGTTGAGTGTCTACTAACACGAAACCTAGGTGATGCAAGGCTTCCTGTGGCCGATTGCCTCCAACCATCGAATATACGAATTCTATTGCTTCCACTCATATTAAGATCCTTTATACAATCATGAGAAGTGGAGTGTCCTTGAAGTAAACTAACGTGCATCTTATCTGTCTGTTACTCTCTTCTCTATGTTAACCTGAGGTCCTGTCTTTGCTGCTTCTTTTGCCAGTTTGTCGGCAAAAACTAAGGTTACAGCGCACATTATTATTATTATTCCCTTGGGTTCCGAGTGGAACATACGGCTTCAACAACACATCTCCACTTTGTTCTGTTTTCTGCCATCCTCTTCATCTGGGTCCACGATTGACCAAACTCTCTCATCTCTTCCTCACACGATCTCCTCCATGTCACCCTTACGCCGACGACCACTCTTCGCTTCCCATTTGGATTCCACTCGAGCGATGGCCTGGCGTGCGATGTCATTTGGCGGCCTCCTCAATGTATGCCCGATCAATCCATCTCCATTTCTCTCTCTTACATATTTGTTGAGCGATCGGCTCTTGCTTGTTGGTTTGTTTCCATAGTTTCTTGTTGCTTATTCTTTCTGCCCTGCCATCTGATATTCAGTACGGAGCCAGCCAGCGAAGGAGGCAGCTGTTGATGAAAGTCTGAAGTGACCTGTTGGAAATCCTTTTCGTGACTGGTACGCAGTGCAAGTTTCTGACCCATGTAGAAGAACTGACTGACTTCACACTGGTGATAAATGCGAATCTTGTTCCTTATGCAGCGGAGTGCAGAAGATTTCCAAACTGGTTTCAGGTTGATGAAGGTGTGCGTATCTTGCCTTTCCGATTCTGTCTGACTTTGACATCTTCATCCGCGGCATATGCCTGTGGTTAAAACCATACCTCCTAGATAAGTGCAGGAAGTAACATTTTTCAGGCTCCTTCCATTGATATTGATTGGTAATTGTTGTCGTTGGTGGTTGGTTATCTTCATCATCTCCGTCTTCTCTATGTTCACATGGAGTCCTATCTTCACTGCTTTGTCGGTCAGCTTGTTCGAGATGAGTATTTGTAGATCACTTACGTTAACCAGTAGTGTTGGCACACTAGCAAATTCGAAGTGATGTAAACTTCGGATATCCATCACTCTCGTTCTGGGATGAGCTCATCAGTGATGTACCAGGTTTCGCTCAGCTCAGACAGTCCAATCACTTCAAACCACTCCACAAAGTTTTTAACTATACGTTATCTGATACCAATTAATCTGAGATTTCATTTTCAAGAGCCCCCTCCCCTCAGCTATAATCGCTTTTCTGGCATAATTCACACTTTGTCAAGTAAGAACATTTGCTATAAACTGAAAACTAGCTGTCAATCTATTAGTCATGATAACAATGGCAAGAAAATTGTTCCTTTTTTCCTCCTCCACAATGAAAGTATCTTCTCTAAGTATTTTTTTCTGACGTCACTACAATGGTATTTCCTTCAAGAGTGCAATTTGAAGAGAATGAAGAGAACACTGATGAAATCTGATGTCAGTCACACCTTAAACAATATAGTAAAGTATGATATAATCATATGCTAAGAGAGAAGGAGAGAGAGTGAGTGAGTGAGGTAGAATTCATAGCATACAAAAACACACAGAAGAATCAGAATTGAAAACATTTGCATATTACATGTGAATGTGTGCATTCTTAAGTATTTACAGACTTAAACTGATTGACTCTGCTCAATGAAACTTGAGCTGAATGTGTATTTGTTGCATTACTAATTGAAAAACAAGATCATATGATGTGATTTATTGATATTTCTGAATCTTGCGATGCTTTTGTGTGTGTGTGTGTGTGTGTGCGTGTAATCCATCTATCTGTATATTGTTAGTTAGGTAAATGAATTCTACATCCATGGATGTTTCAAAATAAAGTAGATACGTGAATGGAATGACTTATACTACTCAATGGTTGATTTGAGTAGTTTGAAATCACCTATGTCAAGCTATACAGTACTTGTTAACCGGATCTATCTGATCGAAACGTCAGATGGTCATTTCGGTGGTTTGGAACCAAGCTCATCAGTGGTATTATTATTATTGTATCCTTTAATTCCTAGAGGAACATAGGGCTTCAGCCATGCGTCTCCATTGCGTTCGGTTCTCTGATAGAGTCTTCACCTGGCTCCAAGTCTGCCCACACGCTTTCATCTCCTCTTCACATGACCTCCTCCAAGTCACCCTTGCACTGACGACCAACTCGCCACTTCCCTTTCGGGTTCCACTCGAGCGATGGCTTGTCTAGTGATGTCACTTGATGGTTTCCTCAGAGTATGGCCAGCCAATCCATCTCCATTTCTTCCTGCCTATTTGTTTCACAATCGGTTCGTGCTGGGTTGGTTCGCTCCCAGAGATCTCTGTTGCTGAACCTTTCTGGCCGGCCATCTGATCTTGAGTATTGAGCGAAGACAACTGTTAATGAAGGTCTGTAGTTTGTTTGAGATGCTCTTTATGACGCGCAGTGCAAGTCTCTGATCCTTATAGTAAGTAGCAGTGACTTCACATTGGAGTTGAAAATCCGGATCTTATTTTTCATGTTGAGTGCTGTTGATCTCCACACAGACTTGAGAGTAGTGAAAGCTTGTCTTGCTTTTCCGATTCTTGCTTTGATATCCTCGACAGTTCCGTTCGCCTTTAGTTGAAACGATGCTTCTCAGGTAGGTAAAGGAGGTTGTTTCTTTCAAGTTCCTCCCATTTATGCCGATCGTTGCCTGTTGTTGTTGCTGTTGCTGATGTTGCCCAGGAATTTGCATCACCTCTGCCTTCTCTATGTTCACCTGAACTCCTATCTTTGATGCTTCTCCTGCCAACTTGTTGCTTTTCGCTTGCATGTCTTCCAGTTTGTGGGAAATCAGATATATATCATCGGTGAAGTTCAGATCCTCCAAGTTTGTTTTGTGTGAGTCCATTTTATGCCTGTTTCCTCATCGCCCACTGGTTGTCACATTATCCAGTCTACTGCAATCAGGAAAATCATTGGCGATTGTAGGCAGCCAGCCTTGTCTTACTCCTGTCCTCACTTCGAAGGGTTCCGTAAGTTTCCCGTTGTGGATTACTTGGCATGCAACATTGTCGTACAGCTGTTGGATGAGATGTATAATTGTCGGTGGCACCTCGTAGTAGCGAATTAGTTTCCAAATCTCCTCTCGATCGACGCTGTCGAAGGCCTTTTCAAAGTCGATGAAGTTGAGATAGAGAGATGACTGCCATTCCAGGCTTTGTTCGAATCAGCTCAGAGATCCGAATCTGTTCATTTCAAGCGGTTGGAACCATTACTGGTTAATCTGAGTGGTTTCAAAGAATTTATCCCCGCTTTCTTTACTGTCATTCATGAAATCATGTCTGATTTCTGAATAAAACCGAGGTGAATTTTCACTTCGAACTATGTAGATTTCAAAATGCGAATTTGATTCAAAACACATTTGAAAACTGAAACTTGATATTATATGGACTGATCAAGCTTCATGCCTACTAATGACGGAACTCCTGTTATGTACTATTCCCTGTTACGAGACCCTTAGCTCAAAGTTTGATGTAACGAATTGGAAATTTATCTCAGTGACGGCCGTTTCTAATACGGTTGTTTTATACGTTAGAATTTTCACCGTGGGGAATTCAGAGACCTTCAGAAATTCAGCCATAACCTTTCTCCAGACGTTAATCACACGACATAGCATTCTCATTTCGACAGTTTACCCGTTGAGTGAAACACTGGATGTCAGTAGGACAAACAGTTTAATGACGTTTTACCCCTTCGCCTACTCAATAGCGATCCACAATCAGTCGAATCATGTCATGTTTACTGGAATACATGAAAGCCGTAGAGCTGTTGTTCTGAGACATCTAGATTACAATATTATATACAAACAGATGAAAATGTGATCCTCACCGCCTAGTGAATAACGATCATTCTGTAGCATCTTATTAAAACTAATAAGGACTAAATAAAGTTCTTCAAACAGCAACTGATAACTGATTCTTACGTATTTTAAATCTTTATGCATAGAAAGACACTGTCTGAATAAAGTATATGTGAAATCTTTAAAGTGACATACAATCAGAATCTGTGAAGGGATTTTAGCCTAACCAATTTTTTCGCAAGAAGAAGTTAAGGACTGAGACTCATGTCGAACAAATCACATCACCTAGCGCTTACAGACAGTCAACAGAATAGTTGGGACTCTTCAGGAGTACGCACCCAGCTCGTGAAAATTTTCCAAAACCGAAGTTATGACAAATAAGTTTTAACCCGATGACTATAGGAACCATTATGTTTTAAACAATACAACATGTTGAGAGTTTTGTGTTCCAGCGGCTATGTCCAAATTTCACAAAAGTCAAAATATCTCGGAAATGAAGACAGATAACGACAAAATGAAGAGAATATCAATGAAAGATATCAATGAGATCTATCGAATAAAGAAAACTGAATTGGGAAATATTGCTCTGGTGAAAAGTTGTGACCAAAACATTGAATTTCCCATAGGATCCTATAGGAATCCTAAGGATTGCTCCGGCGACTATGTCCAAATTTCACGCTGGAACAATAAAGTGGGTATTCAAGTCTTGGTTTGCAGGGATTTGATTGGTTTCAGGATTGCATCATGAGCTGACATCCGTTAGAGAACCATTTGAAAACCTGGGAGTACTGGACGGCTATTTCGTCGGCTTGGTTTGGGGCTCTTCAGAAGTAAGCACCCGCCGCCAGGGTTCAAACTCATGACCTTCCAGTTACGATGAGGCGTGCTCGTAGATCATTCAGCCACCGAGACTCGACAATCCAATGGCCACCTATGAATTCCAACTTCTGCCAGCGAATTCACAATATAGAGCGACTGACACTAGCCACTGTCTTCACTGGCGAGTATTTGTCCTCATACCCGACCTGCTGTAACTGGAATGTCCTGGGTTTGAACCCTGACGGTGGGTGCATACTGATGAAGAGTCCTGAACTAGGCCGACGAAATAGCTTTCCTGTAATCGTAGGTTCTCCAGTAGTTCTCTAATCGATGTCAGCTCATGATGAAGTCCTGAAATAAAAATGGTTACTTGGTAACCTAACTTTCCTGAACACTGTCTCGCGCTCTCTCTCTCTCTTGTTTTATTTCATTCCTTTGCTATTCCGAGTGGAAAATGGGGCTTCAAAATTGAGGTTTAAAGTTTCAGTAGCCATAGTGAGGTTGCTGATCTCATGCCTCACCTTCTCTACTCACTAGGCTTAGGCCCAGCTAAGAGAGATTTAGAAGTGTACAACACGATGTCACAAGTTAATTAATATTTTCATTTGTTAAATAACCCATAAAAATCTTTATTATTATTATTACTACTTTAGATTCATTCAAGTACTATGTTCACGATCATACCCGCATTTACGTGCAGTATTTGGTCATTATACAACTCTTGGTAGAAGAGATATGGAGAAGGCGATATCATCAGAGATGAGTGGTGATCTGTGTAAAGCTATGCTTAGTACTGGTTAGTTGAATAATATATTATTTTTTCTTGTGTAAATGTATAATTGTGGAACACGATTTAATTAGGCAAATACGTATGTATTTTCAATAAATTCTCATCAGGCCTTACATTTACATAAAATGTACAAACCAATTACAAACCAAACTATAGAAAATTAATCTGATGCTCGCTAGTGACTTGCTGCAGCATGGAGTTTCCTGGGGTTCTAGTAAGAAGTCGTGACCAGTGAGGTCCAATTAGATGTCACGTGTGTGGATGGATGTCCCACCAACGACAATGGTTGGGGTCGCGCTAAATCACGAATTGGTAGAAGTTAGCATTCATGAGCCACTGAATCGGGTCCCAGTGGCTGAATGGGATACGAGCTTACCTTGTAACCGGAAGGTCCTGGGTTCGAATCCCAGTGGGTGCGTACTGCCGATGATTCCCAAGCTAGGATGAAACAGCACTTGTCCAGTACTCCCTGGTTTTCAATAGTTCTCTAACTGATATCAGTCCGTCATCAACTCGTAAAATGTACACATTGGATCATAGGAATTATTAAAAAGACAGTTACAGAGAAGAAAATTTTCTTTTCGACGAAGTCACCGTCAACTAGATAGCTGTACATTCGTGTATTTATAATAAATGGGTGGGAAAGTTCCAGAATAATTTCCGGTCAAGGGTCAGATTAATAAAATTACAATTAGGAATTAAAATGCCATAATAAACACGAGGAGGGGGACGGATAAAACTCAAACAAAGTAGCATCATAATTACTGAGAAGATTGACACTGATTGTGCAATTGGGGGTTAGAAATGTAGAAATAACAAAAATAGGCAGAATGTTTGGATAAAAAATCTATTGGAATCATAACTAATGTGACGAATAATTGTTTATGCAGTTAGGGATTAAATATGTAGAAATAATAAAATGACAAAACAGACAGTAAGTTCGGATATGAAAATATGGTAGTGTAAATAGTGGAAGGATTTAGAAAAACTTGAAAATAACATGAATAAACAGGAAGTTTGGATAAGAAAGTCAATGGGATAGTCTAGAATAATTACCTGTTTATGATGGCGATGGCAGGGAAAAGGGTTGGACGTATTTCTTTTAGATACATAGCGTGAGTTTGAGCTTTCGGATGGCTAGTTCCTCGGATATGCCCAAATTTCTTAATTTCACTCCTTTTGATAGGTTTGATCGAATCTTATAAATTATTTTTAAGGATTTTTCAAATGGCTCTGAATGTCCTGAATTGACCATATGTTCTGTCACTGAACTGTATACACGTTTCTGTTCTCCTATTACTAGCCAGGCTGGATAGTGTTCACGAGCGCATTTTTCAAGTTGGCGCATGGTACGGCCGATGTACTCAGCTCCGCAAGAGCAAGTAAACTGCTAAATGCACGTTGGAGTGGCCCAATGCGACAGTTTGTCTTTCGCATTCTGGTTGAACAGTTTCTTACAGGAAAACTTTAGTCGTAGGCTCGCGACGCAGTATGTCTTCCTCAGAGATTTACAGAGGCGTTTACGAAGGATTTCTGCTTCAGTGTCCCCTTTGAATTCTAGATTAAGCAGAAGTATCTTCTTCGGGACGGATTGAACTTGCTCGGAAGTCTTCTTTGATTTGAGGTTCTTGTCTATGAACCTAGGCGGAAAACCGTTTTCTATCAGGGTTCTTCGGAGATTACTCAGTTCTTCATCAATCACCTCCTCGCTACATATCTTCCGAATCCTCGAACATCTGGTCAATTCAGGACATTCAGCTCCACTCGAAAAATCCTTCAAATTCCTATACAAGATTCGATCAAACCTATCAAATGGAGTAAAATTAAGACATTTGGGCATAACCGAAGCACTAGGCATCCAAAAGCTCAAAGTTCAGCTAAGTGAATTAATGGATAACAATTGAGGTGATCATAATAATGATAGTAGTAACACGGATAAATTCATTCAAGTGTTGGGGGCGAGATTGAACAAACTTTTCCTAAACACAGACATTGGATTGAGAAGTCCTTATGGCAACTGACTCAGCTATGCTTAGCAACCGAAGACGTCCCAACCTGGAGAGTTGAGGTGACACCCTGTGTATAGAATTGTAAAAGCTGAATCTGTTTGTCAATCTTTTGCTCCATATCCACCAGTAGGTGTGCCCATATGGAACCTGTGATTGTCTTCATGACTCCTCTACCTAACTAAACACGTTGGACAATGCTCCAGAAGGCGACGGTAGACCTTCCAAGTCGTTCTACCTATCTAATTGTCTCCTCCACATGAACAGTTATATTTATGCAACATAGATTGCACTGAAATAGAAACCAAGTCGGAAATTAAATACCTAGGTGTCATTCTATCTGCTGATCTCTCCTGGTCGTCTCATATCTTGACGATTTCTAAGAAAATATTCCGTCTTACCTTCTACATCAAGAAGTTAAAATATTCTGGTATAACCCAACCCTTACTCCTACAATTCGTTAACTCTCGCATCCTGCCTATTATTCCCTATTGTTCCCCCTTAGTTTTTCCCGGGCTACTTAAAAAAGACTATAAAGGTTGTCAGCAGGGTAAGCAATGTGCCACTTAACCAGCTTGTTAATATTCTGGTCGACAGGCAAATGGACTCATGTGAAAAATGGGCCAAATCCATTTTATCTAACTCACACCACCCTCTTCACTCACAACTCTCCCCTTGCATCTCATCAGGCAGGACCAGAAGCCTATATAGAAAACTATATGCTCGCACCAGCAAGTACAAAAACTCAACCATACCCTACTTAGCTCGTGTTCTGTGCGATAAAGAAAGCATTAGGCGTGATACCTATAACTTATTAAATAGTCAGTAGAACAACTGGATCTCGTCTTTCCAACTCATATCATTTATAGGTACAACATTTTCTTTCTTTCTTTTCCTATTCTCTCTTTTTTTCCGTTTTGTGCTGCTTTGTTTCTTTCTCTCGCTTACGCCAGTAAATATGACAGCACCTACTTTTCTAACACCTTCAAACACTGTTCAGCTTTACCTTTGCTACCGACATGCCAATATGTTGTTGTCATAATGAACTGAGATTTCCTTAATCTATGTAGAATTCTATTTATTGATAATGTACTAACTGGATGCAATACTGTAGTAAAAAAATGCTGAGAATTCCATTCTGTATCACAAGTACTGTTTTGGAATAAAGCAAATTATTATTATTATTTATAAATGTACACTGAAGTAGACAGACTTGGTAGGTTTTCCTTCATCTGCGTTCCGATGCCAGCAATTCAATTGCTGCATCTCCTGTAAATATGTAAAGCCTGATGAGAATTTACTGAAAATACGTATTTGCCTACTTAAATCATGTTCTATAATGATGATTATGGGAATTTTTAAATGTATGATCGTTGTTACTGAGTTTCTTTATTGTTGATAATGTGTCAATCTTCATCAAGAGTTTTAAGATTTTTTCTTTTTTGAAAAATTAGAAACAACATGAGTGTTGACAGTTGAGATAATGTGACTTAGTAAATTCCAAAAGTGAAATAATAATAATTGTACTATTTACGCAGAAATGATTTGAATTTATCCATATACAACATATTCAGAGAAATTGCTAGCTTAAACTGTCAGGAATGGTTAGCATATATTAATAAAAAGATGTTTGTAAAACATTGAGCCAATATTTGTCTAATAAATATGCAGACAGAAATAGATGAATTAATATATGTATATATATGTAAAACGTAGGCACTGTGGTAGTAAGTAATTCCATATTAGTTTGTTTATTAGATGTATCCCACAGAGAATAAAACAGTATTATTTACTGGATGACAAAGTTCTAAACACATTTTATCAGTGCTCATAATCATACCAATCAATTATAATCACACGACTTCGAAACTTCAGTTTTATAGTTTTCTTTGTTCTCTCCTATTTGTCGTTGTAGGGGTAGTAGAATTTCGTAGATGTCTGGGTGGATAGATACTGAATCATTTCTATTACATGTATTTGCAGTTGATTCGATTAACAAAGCTTCTGTTATCAATCTTCCCCACTCGCCACCCTGTGACATTAGATTTCAAAACTGTGATGATAATAATAATAATATTAAGACAACATGCATGTCAAACATGCGCAACAATAAGGAATCTAAATCATCAGTAGTAATCCCCCACAAGGAAGGAACCTTGGAAATCACCTTACGCAGAATTCTTAACAAGGCAGGAATAAGGAAAGTGGCTGGCAATCAGACTGCCTACAAACTCAACTAGAAACAAGTTTTGTCTGTTAAAGGATCCTGCCAGTGACGCCTGTGAAACAAAACAATTTAGTTTATCTAATACCCTGCCTGCGATGATTGTCAGGTCAAATACATAGGTGAAAGGAGTAGAATGGCGTCAGTCAATCAGACTAGCCGAGCATAAAAACCTAGCAGCGAAATCTAGATTGGTTGACCCGAATAGGATAGGAAATCTGGAGAATAGTTCAGCCATAACACTCATTACATGCAATTACACACAACCATACAATAGGATGGGATAAGATGACAGTTTTAAAATCTAATGTCACAGGGTGAAGGGAGAGATTGATAACAGAAGCTTTGTTTATCGAGTCAACTGCAAGTACTTGTAATAGGAATGACGCAACACTTGTCCACCCAGACATCTGCGAAATTCTACTACCCCTACAACGACAAATAGGAGAGAACAAAGAAAACAATAAAACTCAAGTTTCGAAGTCGTGTGATTATAATTGATTGGTATGACTATGAGCACTGTAAGCGCAATATCGCTTGAAATTAAGTCACGCGTAGATAAAGGCTATCCCGGTCCAGAACAAACAAGAAGCCGGTCACTGTTTCTACGGTACTATTAATAAACAAATCAATAATTAACGGTTTCAAGAGTACAAAGCACAACGCTTAACAGAAAGCAAGGTACCGCTATCGGAGCGGAATAACGTTAAAGCCAAAATCGCGAACTAGCCGGAATCAGACACGACCGTTCAGGTAAGCAGTCACTAGAAGAATGAACCCAAGTAAGGCAGGGCATAGAACAGAGAGCGGTTAAGCGATAGACAGAGCATAGGCACGAAGATAGAATTTAATTGTCTACTTAACCAGGTAGGCTGATATAGATGAAGATCAATAGATAAGATGAACTCGACAGAATACTACAAAGGAAGACATGGGTCAGCAAAAATAACAGTTCACAAAATACTCTGATTGGGTCATGAGTTCAACGGTCTGACTAAACAGATCGACGTAAAAAAAACACACATAGTTCATTAAACAAGGGGGGATAGCCGCTTTAGGCCTTGTATCTCATCAAGTAAAACCAGAAATCAGTATAAAAGAATCTATGCTCGTACAACCAAGTACAGGAACTCAACGATACCATACTTGGCCCGTGTTCTAAGCGACAGAGACAATGTTAAGCGTGAAACCTGTGACTTGCTTTGTTATTAACAACATAATTTCATACTCTTTTATTTCTCTCTTATTTCGTATTCTTTAGTGAACTCCTTCTTCAAACTTACTTAGCTACCTGAAATATTAACATTGGCTTCCTTTTTTGTACTTTACTATATTCCTTCTATTGTGTATCCACTGGTTCCGACTATATTAGCACTATGAGTATTACAAAATTGTCGTGTCATTAACCATCATGTAATTATTAGTTTTGTGGTTGTTTTTCTTATTTTCTATACTTTTCGGCAATATTAAACTGACAATCACTGGTTGTGAATGCCATAGTCACCACCTTAAAAATTTTGTATTATGCAGGATTACTCACACTACCACCACAAACAATGCATTAGACCTTGGTAGACTTTGGTACTTTTTCGCATTCATAATTATTTTGTGTTTATCCTGTTTTTTTTGTTTTTGCTGTTGGTGTCTTCAGATTTATTTTTTATTTGTTTAATACTTATTTTAAATGTCGGTAAAATTGGATGCAAATATTGTAGATATGTGCTGAAAATTCCACACTGTACCACTAGTACTGTTTCTGGAATAAAGCAAATTATTATTATTATTGGGTTGCAACAACGCTAGGCTGATCTGGGACAGGTTGACTTGATTCAAAGATGGGAATTGAATTGATCTTACAAACATTGATAAGCTGTGTTTGAAACTTTGTCATCTAGTAAACAATACTGTTTCATTCCGTGTGTGATACATCTAACAAACAAACTAATAAAAAAACAGATGAAGATGGCTTGGAGATCGTGGCGTGATATCACGCTCCAGGTGGGCAGGCAGGCAGTTGAGTGGAATCCGAATGGAGAGACGATGAGTTAGAAATCTGTCAGTGACATGGAGGAAACCGTGTGGGGAGGAGATGAAAGCTTGTGAATAATCATGGAGCTAGCTATACATGACTGGAGAGAATCCAGTGAAATAGGGATGAGCTGTCGATGACTACGGGTTGAAATTATCTAACTGTAATGGGACCATGCAAATGGTCCGGGGTTCGATCCCCGGCCGACGCACTCCTTTGCCTCGCTAAGCCAGAAATAATGCTGGTGAAGAGGAAAGGTTGAGCATGAGGCTAGCAACCCCATCCTGTGAAATAAACACTGCTACAGAAACTTCAAGCCACCAGCTTGAAGCCCTATGTTCCACTGGGGAATGTGAAGGAAAAAAATGGGATTCTGTAAATTTGTTTCTATTTATTCATTTTTTCTATTTTTGAGTAGTATAGTGAAGTAGCGTTTCACTTCACAAGTCAATGAACATCTAACATTTGTATACTTTTCAAGAGTTGATTTGTAAGGATTTCTTTTTCGAGTTTGACCATGGATCACTTCTCTTACTGATATCAATCCGTGATCAAAATCGAAAAAAAATCTAATCCTTACAAATCAACTCTTGAAAATTAATCTGATGCTCACTAGTAACTCTATACAGGACGGAGTTTCCTGGAGTTCTAATGAGAAGTCTTGACTAATGAAGTCCATCTAGTTGGGAGTGAGGATGAAGTTATCGCCGATGACGTTGGTTGGTGGTCACGGTAAAATCAGAAATTGGTAGAAGTTGGAATTCATAGGCTGGCCATTGAATCGGGTCCCACTGGCTGAATCGTCTACGAGCTTGCCTTGTAAGCGGAAGGTCCTTGGGATCGAACCCTCTGCGTACTGCCAATGAATGCCGAACTAAGGAGACGGGTTCGTACACTCTGCCGACTGATTGAGACTCGAGCATCTAAACCAATAAGCCACAACTCTATAGTTCTGAAATATCTTATGATATCTTGTTAAAACTTTTGAAACTAGTCACTTAGAGCCTCCATAATGAGTATTTACAATTATGGCTCCTTAAACATTACTTCATTCACTTATCTAGGGAGCATTGTCTCAACTACAGGAGGAGTGGACGACGATGTAAAATCGAGAACCAGGAAGGCAAGAAACACATTCATCAACCTGAAACCAATCTGGAAATCTTCGTCACTCTGCATCAACAACAAAGTGATTCGGATTTTCAATACAAACGTCAAGTCAGTCAGTTCTTCTATACGGATCAGAAACGTGGCGGGTCACAAAAAATATTTCCAACAGCCTGTTGCAGACCTTCATCAACAACTGTCTTCGCTCTATACACTGAAGATCAGATGGCCAAAAAGAATCACCAACAAGAAACTATGAGAACAAACAAGACAAGAACCAATCGCCCAACAAATATGCAGGAGAAAGTGGAGATGGATTGGACACTCGCTGAGGAGGCCGTTGGGTGACATCGCGCGTGAGGCCATAGCTCGAGTGGAACCCGAAAGGGAAGCGGTGAGTTGTTCGTCGGTGCAAGGGTGACATGGAGGAGATCGTGTGTAGAGGAGTTGAAACAGTATGGATTAACATAGATACAGGTGAAAAGTACAGCAGAAGATAGAAACAAGTGGAGACGTGCAGTTGAAGCCCTATGTTCCACTAGGAACCCAAGGGAACAATAATAATATAATAATATTATATGGCACTTGTTAATGTGCGTTGGTGGCTTAGTGTTAGAGTGCTGGCTAACTATGCACTTGGTTTGGCATTCAAGTCCCGACCGGCACACACCTCTACCCTCCCTAGTGGGTTATAATTACAACAAAGAAGGAAGACTGGGTGTGGGGCTAGCAACCCCACCCCTTATAAACAAACACCACTGCTAATGAAACTTCAAAGCGCTTGCCTGAAGTCCCCTATGTTCCACTCGGAACTCACAGGAGTAAAATAAATGATAAAAAGATGTCCATGGAAATAATTTGCAAGTTGAATTGATCTAGTACAGATACTTAAGCTGTCCATACATCTTTGCTTTGAAAAAAATATTCCAGAAGAGAACGCTAAAATAGTCGAGTACAATGAAATATGAACATGAATACACTCGACCAAGTAATTTTAAATAGCTCGGAAGTATACAACTCATTGAATAGGTGAATTTCACTACCGTGTGCTAAATTACTTTACATTGTCTAAATTCACTTCAGAAGTAACTAGTCAGTCATACTTTTGTCCACATCAAGCAAAATACTAGAATGGCAGTCAAATGTCTACCTCATTTTTTTCGAATTCCAAAAGGCCTTCAACAGACAATTTTGATCGGAAAGTAATTTGGAAACTACTTCTACACTGTGGCATCCAGTACCTCAAATCCTTATCTACGTCGTTCAACAGCTATGTGATAGTGATGCCAAGTGTCAGGTGATCCTCAACGGAAGACTCCGTTAGGAGTTTGGAATGAATACGGGAATAACACAAGACTGGTTGCCTATTATCATCGATGATATTCCTAATTGCGGTGAACTGGATCATGCAGCGGACCATGGGATGCGAAAACGGGCATAAACAGGGCTGAAAAAGGCTCTAGAAGACTCTGACTTTGCGGAGGAATTATATTTAATGTCACACAAACTCGAAGACCTACAGGCGAAAACCAACAGGTTGTCAGAAGAAGCAGGAAAGACAGGAATTCAAGTGAACACGGAAGAAACAGAGGTGATGAAGATACCCACCAAGCAATAACAACAACCTCCAATCACTATCAATAGGCAATACCAAAGACCCCGACCATGCACATGGTCCGGGGTTCGATCCCCTGCCGACGCACACATGTTATCTATGGTCGGTGGGACTAACCAACTAAGGACCAATAACTCGAAAAATATGCCGAAGAAAAAGGGTATAGTTGTGATATACACTGAGTAGGTCTTTGAGTGACGAAGCGCGACAAGCAGACCTCCGAGTGGAACCCGACAGGCAACAACGAGTTTTGGTGTGAGAAAGTGATATGAAGGAGATCGTGTGGCGTAGAGATGAGAGCTGTTGAGCAATCGTCGAGGCAGTTAGAGAGGATATCAGTGATTCAGATACAATACAGTCGTATGTTTTTATCTCAATTTCAAATAAAGTTTCCTTAAAATCAAGTCTAAAGTGGTTTACTTCAAAATAACTTTCACTTCAACAATGCTTAGGTACACAGTTCAAAATATTTGGCCATGAATCCTACAAGTGAGTGACAGAACTAGTACTTGCAGAACGTCACCTCCAACCATTCTATATCTTGAATATATTTTTTTTATTCCTTCACGTTCCCAGTGAAACATATGGCACCTTCAAGCTAGAGGCCTCATGCCCAACCTTCCCTCTTTACCAGTGTTTTATTACTGGCTTAGCGAGCGAGGTAAAGGAGTGCGTCGGTGGCCGGGGGTTGAACGCCGGACTACATGAGGCGTGGTTGGCGAGCATTCTACCGCTGTGAGACCGACGCACATTAGTTGCTTTGCTCTCCTTGTCATTTATTTTTATCCGTTTATTTTCTACAATTTTAGTGAGATGTATTCAGAACAAACCCAAGTACTTTGCTAAAAAACTCAGAGATTCTATGAGAGGAGCTGGAACGAGGGATACAACACTAATTCGTATAGTTGTTTCACGATCTGCTATTGATATGGGTGCAATAAAAACAGAGTTTCAGAGTCTTACTGGAAAAACTCTTGGATCTTGGATAGCTGTAAGTTTTTAAAAAAAAATGTATATTGCGTTCATTATCTTTTATAGAAGTATTAAAAGTACACTTGGTACGTATTTGATCAAAATTGAATCTAAAATAACGTAGGGGATTTTTAACTCAAGAGTGGAATAGTTACATTGTGTTAGGGTATGCGGAAATGTGGCCCATGGGCTTTCAGCCAGTGGCTAGTGGGTTCCAGTCCCACTCAACCTACTTCATCCTAAGTAATTGGGTGGAATCATCAGTCCACATGCACACAGCAGCACGTATGCGTCGGTGGTATAGTGGTTACGACTCTCACCGACCATGCACATCGTTCGGGGTTCGATCCCCTACCGATGCACACCCGATATCTATGGTCGGCCTGCAAAATTTGGGCTACCGATATCCATGCTGAAAATTCCATACTTGTACTGAAAATACGGTGTGGCATCAAGCTGTAATCAAAAATAAATAAAAGAAATATCAATATCCCGATAAATAAAACTAATCTTCAGGGTTGAGTATTTCAGTTTTTCCTGTGAAATATAGCCTTATTTGTTCGTAAACCCTTGTACACAATTTAATCTCACATCACTCATAAATCTGAAAAACACTTAGAAAACTGATTGTCATAGTTGTTCTCGATTTCATAGTGTTAATTTACTTTGTCATACTTAGTCTTGCCATTGTTTGTAATGTTATTCATAAATCCATCTGAAACTTTTCTACAAAGTTCTCACTCTATAAACTTCAGCCATAAGAAATATTAGTATAGGATTAACTGACCGATAAACTCATGTTCCCGGAAATTTAACACATGATCTTGAGTATAGAAAAAATCTCCATTTAGACATTTAGAAAACAGAAAGTTTGAGCGAAGAAATATTTACTTTTCAATTAGATCCTCATCTCATTCTGGTTCTACTCTAATATACACGTATAGCATTTTTATTACAATACACAACAATTTACCAATCACCAAGTGGCACTAATATGCTTGTTAACAATAATTAGTCATTGTCAAAATGTCAGTAGGGTGATAATTAACGAAGAAAATTAGCATACACAATTAAAAGGTAGAAATGGTTACAACAAGTGGATTGCATAATGCATAATTTTGAAAAAAATGAAGAGTAATTAAGGGAGAGATTTAACAGAGGCTGCCTGCTTCACTTTTCATCAACAACTTCCTTCGCTCCATAGTGAAGATCAAATAGCAGGCCAGAAAGAATAAGCAACAAGAACCTGTGGCTTAGAACAAACCTACAAGCAAAAGCCGATCGCTCAACAAATAGGTAGGAGACAGTGGAGATGGATTGATCGGGCATACATTGAGGAGGCTGTCAAATGACATTGCACGCCAGGCCATCACTCGAGTGGAATCCTCAATGGGAAGTGATTAGTGGGTCGTCGGTGCAAAGGTGACACGGAGGAGATCGTGTGAGGAAGAGATGAAAGAGTTTGGTCAATCGTAGAACCATCTGAAGAGGACGGCAGAAAACAGAACAAAGTAGAGATGTGTTGTTGAAGTCCTATGTTCCGCTCAGAACGCAAGGGGAATAATAATATTATCATAATTAAGGGATAACCGAGTGTTCAGGTTGATTATGTAACAGAATGTTACAGCAAAATAAAATAATTTGGACAATGATAACTTGTAATTAAGGATGAAGTAGTCATAAGAATAAAATAATGTGGACAATTATAATTTTTAAAATGCTTAGGGAATAGCACAACAGTCAGGTTTTAACATTCATTTGTCGATGGCAAAGGTAGGGAAAGTGGCTGTACGAATTTCTGCTCAACACATAATTTTGACCTTCTTCAGGTGGATTCCGATGGATTCAGCTATTATGTGTAGAACAAGAAGTCGTAAAGGAAAATTAAGATTAGTTGAAATGTGACAAATACCTTTAAATGCAGTATTAACGTCAACTTTATGCTCACTATCTACAAGGTGTACTACAACAGAGCCATGAATAGATCTTGTTTGTCTCTTGTTTAACAATACTGCAGGATGATATTCAAAAACACGATGATGAACCTGCCTAATAGTATGCCCAGTGTAGCTGGCTCCACAGCTACAGTCAAACTGGTAGATACACTTAGAGGAGGCGAAATTGAGTAGTTTGTCCTTATTTGTCGAAAGTAAAATAGAGATGCAAGGGGAGAATTGAAAATAGAGGGAGGGATTTAGACCATTCCTCATATGAGTGAGTTCAGGTGTCTATCGCCTACAGTAGTAACGAGCTGGATGAGTGGCACACCACCCGCCCTACTAACAATTTTTTATACTCTGTACAATATGAAATCATCCTTTCTGATTAACCGAGGAAAGAACAAAGGGGAGCAGTAATGCAAGAGTCAACAAACTGTAAACGTACAAGATGAATGATTCCTGAATATCCTAACTTCTTAATGTAGTACGTCAGAATGAACATTTTCTTAGAAAGTGACAAAATATGGGATGACCAAGGTTGGTCAGAGGATAGAACTTTGTCTCTATTCCAGTGCCCTCTATGTTACAAGCAGTATCTTGTGAACAAACCAGTTCTTGTAGATCAAGTTTATGCCTACACTTGAAGTAAATAGCCATTGATATTTAAAGGGACTTAAGTTTAAACCATTTCCCTAAGACCACTTCGACAAAAAGCTATTAAGTTTTGTTGAATAAACCTTGTACTCAATGAATTTGTCAGGTATGAGTATGAATCAGCAATATATGAGGATATGGAAATATCTCATTTCTCCTTCACAGGTATATATACATATATGCATTCAGAACTATTGATCGTATACTGACAGTTAGTCATTGTGGCTTTTTCATATTTTTCATGCTAATATTAGTTGTTTGGAAAAAAATAACAAATTGACATGAGGTGTATTTCTCTTCACCTCGTTATCGATTTCACTTTTTACTAATTTATGTAAGGTAGATTTTCCTGATTGCCGTAGACTGGATAATGCGACAGACAGCTGGCCGGGCAACGAGGAGACAGGCATAAAATGGACTCACACGAAAAACTTGGAGTTTCTGGACTTCGCCGATGACAAATGTATGTCTGATTTCCCACAAACTGGAAGAGATGCAAGTGAAAAGCAACAAGTTGGCGATAGAATAAGCATCAAACATAGGACTTCATTCAGGTGAACATAAAGAAAACAGAGGTGATGAAGACTCCTGGCCAACAGCAACAGCCAGAACAACAACTGACAGCAATCAGCATAAATGGGAGAAATCTGAAAGAAACAACCTCCTTTACCCACCTACCTACCTGGGAAGCACCGTTTCAACCACAGACGGACGGAACTGATGAGGATATCAAAGCAGCAAGGATTGAGAAAGCAAGGCACGCTTTCATTACTCTGAAGTCTGTGCGGAGTCCAACAGCACTCAGTTTAAAAATGAGAATAAGATCTTGATCTTCAACTCTAATGTGAAGTCAGTGCTACTATATAGGTCAGAGACTTGGAGCGTCACGAAGGGTGCCTTCATTAACAGCTGTCTTCGCTCAATACCACTCAAGTCCAGATGGCCGGCCAGAGAAGATCAGCAACAGAGATCTCTGGCAATGAACTAACCAACCTAGCAGGAACCGATTGTGCAGCAAATATGCAGGAAGAAATGGAGTAGGGTGGATTGGTCATACTCTGAGAAAACAAGCCATCAAGTGACATCACAGGTTTTCGTTAGAGTTGAACCCAAATGGGAAGCGGCAAGTTGGTCGTCAGTGCGAGGGCGACATGGAGCAGGAGGTGATGCCAAGTGGAGATGAAAGCATGTAGGCAGACGTGAAGCCAGGTGAAAAGGTTGGCAGAGAACCGAACGCAATGGAGACGTTCGGCTGAAGCCCTATGTTCCTCTAGGAATTAAATGAAACAATAATAATATAATGTACGGTAAATATGACCACAGTGTAACTTCTCTTCTTTTATTCCTTTTTCAGGACGATACGAGTGGAGATTATCGACGACTTTTACTAGCGCTTGTTGGTGCATAATTCACTGTGTCCTTACACCAGAAATATTAACAATGACTGCTATGCATAATCAATATTTCTTCTTCAAAAATACAACCAAAGGGAAGAGTATTGAACAGAATAAATTATTATTTAATATTTTGTTTATTCATATCACTGAAATTGCCTTACTTTTATGTGTGTCTTTAATTTGAAATTTGTTTGAAAAGTGTAACAGAAGAATTTCTTACAATTAGTCCTCTTTACATGGTTTCAGTTTTTGTAAAACAAGAACGCTGTGGGACATACGCACTGAATTCGGAAATTGTGTAAAATTTTCAAGTATTGGTTTGTAGGGATTTTGTTTGATTGGTTGGAGGATTTCATCATGAGTTGACATCTTCTAGAGAACCGTCGGAAAACCATCAGGCAGTACTGGACAGCTGTTTCATCCTCGTTTGGTACTCTTCACCAGTACGCAACCACTGGGGTTAGAAACCAGGACCTTCGGGTTACAAGGCGAACTTGTAGATCATAGCTAAATAATCTACGACCTCGCCGTGTAACCACAAGGTCCTGGGTTCAAACTGTGCTGGTTACGTACTGATGAAGAGTAGCAAAATAGGACGAAACAGCTTTCCAGTACTCCCTGCAAGTTTTCCAGTGGTTCTTTTAACGATTTCAGCTCATGATGAAATCCTGTGTACAATTTATTATTAATTTAAGGTGCCATTGTCAAGTGCTTGATATAGAATTCCCTGAGAAATCAACACAAAATAAGTATATTAGGTAGTTGGAGGTAATCGTCAGCAGGTCCTTCTGGGATACTGGTTTCGTGCTTGTTGACACTCACCAGTCAGCACGGTGTATCTGAGATTTGATCTTGTGTCATCCAGTACTGCAGTCACAGACCTTATCACTGAGCTATTTGGGCTCGCGATTGACTTCCTGTAGGACTGTATTGGCAGCTCAGTGGTACTGTTTATGACCGTAGAATCTCAGAAGGGACATGAGTTCCTGCGAAAGATTGCAGATACGCCTTGCTAACTGGTGAGTGCCAACAGGCAAAAATCTAGGTCCCAGCAGGGCTTCCTGTGGCCGATTGCATCTAACCATCTAATAACAACGACTCACAGTGCACCGATGACGAGGAGCCACCTAGTGGCATGGTGGCCACACTAAAAAATTGACTGCCATAGAATTCAGTCTACATCAAACACAGGACTAGACACACATACATGACACCAGTTAACTAATGTTCAATCGAAACATAAAATGAGCATTTCCCCACTCACAACTGACAATATAAATGAATGAAGGAAGAATTGAAAGGACCCTTGCGGAAAAATTCTTTAAACGTGCTATGCTCTTAATATATATGTAAAACTTGGGCACTGGGGTAGTAAGTAATTCCATATTAGTTTGTTTATTAGATGTATCACACAGTGAAAAAACAGTATTATTTACTGTATGACGCAGTTTCGAACACAATTTATTATTGTTCATAATCATACCAATCAATTATAATCACACGACTTCGGAACTTCAGTTTTATAGTTTTCTTTGTTCTCTCCTATTTGTCGTCGTAGGGGTAGTAGAATTTTGCAGATATCCGAATGGACAGCTGTTGAATCATTCCTATTACTCGTGTTTGCAGTCGATTCGATAAACAAAGCTTCCGCTGTCATCAATCTCTCCCTCCACCCTGCTGTTGCATTAGATTTTAGCACTATAATCTTATCCAATCCATCCTATTGTATGGTTATGTGTAGTTGCATGCAGTGAGTGCTATAGCTGAACTATTCTCTAGATTTCTTATCTTATTCGGTTAAACTAATCTAGATTTCGCTGATAGGTTTTTATGCTCGGCTAGTCTGACTGACTGCCCCTGTTCTACTAGTTTGACCGATAAATTTGGCCTGACAATCATCGCAGGCAGAGTATTAGATAAGCTAAATTGTTTTTTCTAATTGACACCACTGTCAGGATCCTTTAATCGACAAAGCTTGTTTCTGATTGAGTTTGTGGTTGGTTTGAATGCTTGACACTTTTATTCCTTCCTGCCTTGTTAAGAATTCTGCTTAAGGTGGTTTCCGAGGTTCCTTCTTTGTATGGAATTACTGCTGATGATTTAGATTCTATAAAACTCAAGTTTCGAAGTCGTATGATTATAATTAGTTGGTGTGATTATGGACACTAATAAACTGTGTTTGAAACTTTGTCATCCAGTAAATAATACTGTTTCTTCACTGTGTGATACGTCTAATAAACAAACTAATATGGAGTCCCATGCTTTTGGTAGAAATAGACTTGATACGAGTCATACTATCACTCGTAAAACAGCTTTTTGAGTGGTAATTAGAAACATTATTAGTAGACTACTACGATTCTCAGATGTAGCACCAATCTAATGATTTAGGCCCATTTTTTCTCAGGTATTGATTAGATTGATTTTCATAATAATAGTAATACTCTCATTCTGAACAACATTTATATAGTTTACAGAATTTTCACTGCAGTTCATTGCATGATATTTCCTCTTCATCCAGGAGCTTCAAATATAACACTAATAAACAGCTAATCGTGAGACACAGTTCTATCTGACATGAAACACCACAAACCAGTCCATTATGATAGCTCTTAGTTGTCTCTTTCGAGAAATACATGACACTTGGTTGAACGCCAATTATATAAAGTTGAAGAGTACATTTTATGGATGAGGTACACCACTTAGGAACAGTTATCTCATTATTCGGATAAGCTGCCTTCCATTGAGAATAGTGCTTCTTCTCATTTTTAGCAGAAAATTGGGAATCAGCAGGTTGCAAATATTTTAAATTCATACTATTAGAGTTCCTGTTTTACCAGATTTAAACAAACTTAATAAGAGAGATTATATGCAATATATTAATGGCTAGTCCACGCTTTAAGCAGGCGCCTAAGTTTTATTACAAACTGACATCATCTAGAGAATCATTGGAAAACCAGAGAGTACTGGACAGTTGTTTCTGTCATTGTAGTTTGGGTCTCTTCAACAGCATGCACCCATCATTCCACTAGATGTCAAACCCTGGACTTTCAAGTTATTAGGCGAACCCTCTGATTACTCAGACACCAGAAGGGAATCCACTTATCATCCAATGAATTTCGCCTTCTTCCATACCATATACATACCACAACTGCTGTCACTAATAAAAAATGAAGGATAAAATAATTTTCAAAATCACAAGGAAGGTAAAGTAAATCCATAAATAAAGGCATTCAACACTGTAGATGTGTCATCTAAATACCTTCATGGTACATTTGCAACAGGTTGAAACTTGTCTAAATCTTTTTATTCTAAAGTGTCTGTTGCTACTGTGATGGATATTGGTGAAGCCATCACTACTAATATGTATGCATACACGCTTTTTATTTTAGTACTAATAATAGTAATAATATTAACAGTTTTATTCCCAACAGTACTTTTGGTACAAATATGGAATTTTCAGGATGTGTAGTACAGTACAGTATTGCATCTAACTGTCTCATTACAGGAGTAGTAATAAAAACACGGCATTTGCACTGACAATATGGTTCAGTATGTACATGAATTTAAAATTAAGTGAAAATATCAACAACAATATAACAATGGATGAAATAGGGCCGTTTACTAAGAGTTCCGCAGTAAGTTGATGGTGTCGCCTGCCTTACATATGTCCTACATAGGTAGGGGTAGTCAGATTGTCGGAACATAAGAATTTGGCTGAGATTAGAACGGTTGACCCCGAGAAGATAAGTAATTTAGAAAGAGCTCAGCACCACATTGCACTGCATGCATTAACACACAACCACACACTGAGGTGGGAGAGGATTAAGCTTCTAAGAAGTAATCTAGGTAGGTGGAGAGAGAGGGTGATTACTGAATCCTGCCTGGTTCATTGAATCTACACCCAGCACGAGCAATAGGAATGACTCCACCAATACTAGAAATACGGAAAATACTACTACCAATCAAATCAAGCGATGGAAGATAATGGAATTATATAAACGAAATTAGAAAGTTGTGTGAGTGAGAGCCTTGATATGATTATGAGCGGCAATAAATTGTGCTCGAAAAGTGGTCATTAGTAAATATTACTGTATAACACACTGTGAGACTTTATCAAAACAAATTCTATCCATAATGGAATTATAGTCTCACACAGTGCACAAGTTTTATTCTTATACCTCCAGTCTTACACTTTTCTCATCACATTAAATGTGTGCCCACCAAATAAGGTATCGTAGAGTTTTTGTACTTATTCGTCCAAGAATATAGTCTTCAGTAGTTCAATCTGGTTCTACCTACGAGATAAGATACAAGGGGAGATTTGTGAATAGACAGGATGCTCAAAGTCTGACAAGGTAGTATTTGCTAATTTCTTGCAGGAATCCATGTGTCTGTCTACAACAGTATTAACGTGTTGGTTTAGCAACACCCCACTCGCCCCACTGACAGCTTTTAGTGGCCTTCGCAGTATAACAAAGTCTTTCTTATGTCGCCCATGGAATACTAAGGTGGTAGTGGGTGGGGGGCAGCAAAGAAGTATATGCAGAATGCAAGAATTAACAAATGTAGAAGTATAGAATGAGTGATACCAGATTGTCTTAGCCTCCTTACGTATAACGTTGAACGAAATATCTTTCTAGTCACTAACATGATGTGGAAAGACCAGGACTAACCATTTCATGTAAGTCGCTCTTGCGTCTAAAAGGGAAATTAACCACCCAATATTTGAACGGATTTAGCTTAAGACCATTTGAGATCAAGGACCATTAACCGATTTCTTATAAAAAGTTATTCATTTTGGAACAATCTGACTGAGAAATAACTGCTGCCACCATAGAAACAATCAGATCATCAGCATACTGAATAAAATTGACTTCGTCACAGTGGGATAAGCAATGTAAGAAGAAAGAAAACAGAAAAGGAGAAAGGACAGCACCTTGAGTCAGGAACAGCAGCTGGAGTAACTGAAGTAGTGGAGGCCTTCCTATTGTATACAGTGTACTTCTTTCCG